ATACTTAGTATATGATGCAGCCATCTACTCTTAGGTATTTACACAAGAGAAAAGACAACATATCCATACAAAGAACTCAATCTTCACAGCCCAAGCTAAGAACAGCCCAAATGTACATCAGTAGATGAATAGATAAACAAACTGTGGTACACTCATACAATGAAATAATACTCAATAATAAAAAGGAATCAACTCTTGGAGAACCAAGATGGCAGCATACGTAAACACCTATACTTGCTGCCTCTCACAACCACATCAAAATAACAACAAAAAGGCAGAACAACTACCACCCAGAACTGTGGGAAAGCTGAGTGGAAAGTTCTACAACTAGAGAGGTGAAGAAAGCGCATTCAGACTGGTAAGAGGTGTGGAGGCATGCAAAGTGCTGGCACCTGGATGTGCTGTTCTTTTAATCAGGAGGGAGATACAAGCTCCAGTTCCAGAGAGACTCTGGGGACCCAGACACATACGGGGAGAAACTGTAGGGACAGGAACGCAAGGGCAGCTTTCTCTCAAAGGTGCTCGCAGGGATCATTATTCCTGCATGGGGCGTGGGACACGGAGACCGGGAGACCATTCCAGGGCAGGGCTGACTGGCAGCCATTGCAGTTTGCTCTGCCCTGCTGATTCCAAAAGACCCCACTACACCCAATTTACAACCCCACCCAAGCTGTGCCCATCGGCTTTTGCATATGAATGGCCTGTCCTTTCTCCGCCTAAAATCTGTCAAACTACAGCTGGGTCAGAGAGCCCCAGAGCTTCCAAAAGAAGGCCCAAGGCCTGGCAGCAGCAGCCTCCCTTGCTTCCCAGCTGGGTCTCGTCTGGGCACTTCCAAACCTCATACAAAGAGGAGGAATCTGCAGATGTCTCTGAGCTCCTGCTGGGCAGCCCCAAGACAGTGGCTAACCTTGTACCTCCTTAGAGATCCAAGAGCCAGTGTACCCAGTGGTCAGAGTGAGACCATACCAGATTACAACTCTTCACATTCACTTAAGGGGCAGACTCAGTGAGCACCAAAGCCCCACTGAAGCAGCAAGCCCTGCCCCATAAGGGTGTCTCCTGCACAACAGATCTTCCAGTGTAGACAGAGCTGGTCATCACAGCCAATTGGCCTGGAGGTCAATTCCTCCCAGCGATACCAACAGAAATCAAGGGTTAATTACAACAAGACGGTGTAAACAGCCCACAAAGAGGTACACCAAGAGCATCCACCTTAGGTGACTGGGGAGGCTGAGCCACTGGGCCCCATAGCACACCTACCACACAAAGCCACTCTATCAACTCAAGAAGACTTAGCAGCTACCCAGTACATAGAAACAAACCCAGGGAAGCAGCCAAAATGTAAAGAAATAGAAATAAGTCACAAAGGAAAGAAATGGAGGAAAGCAAAATACTGGATATAGAGTTCAAAAACCACAGTTACTCAAGAATCTTCTAGAAACCTCTGAGAAATTTAGTGAGACCTTCAAGGATATGAAAAAGGACCAAGCAGAAATTAAGCATACACTAACTGAATCAAGCAAAAGAAATCCAAAGAGGACCAAACCAAGACACATCATAATTAAAATGCCAAGGGCAAAAGACAAAGAGAGAATCTAAAAAGCAGCAACAGAAAAAAAATTAGTTACCTAGAAGGGAGTATCCATACGACTGTCAGCTGATTTCTCAAGAGAAACTATGCAGGCCAGAAGGGAGTGGCAAGAAATATACAAAGTGATGAATAGCAAGAACCTACAACCAAGATTACTGTAACCAGCAAAGCTCATTTAGAATTGAAGGTCAGATAAAGAGCTTCACAGACAAGAAGAAGCTAAAGGAGTTCATCACCCCCAAACCAGTATTACATGAAATGCTGAAGGCTATTCTCTAAGAAGAGGAAGAAGAAGAAGAAGGTAAAGATAAAAAAAATTATGAACAACAAAGTGACAACAAATACATATCTATCAACAAGTAAACCTAAAAATCAAATGAATAAAAAACCTGATGAACAGAACAGATTGGTGAATGTAATAGAATTAGGGGCATGGAAAGGGAGCCGACTGACAATTCTCGGTGGGAAGGGGTTGCGGGAAGAGACTGGACAAAGAGCTTACACCTATGGACGAAGTCAGTGGTGGGCGGGGCCTGGAGTAGGGTGGGAACCGGGTGGAGGGGAGCTATGGGGGGAAAAAAGAGGAACATCTGTAATAATCTGAACAATAAAGATTAAAAAAAAAAAAAAGGAATGAACTTTCAATACCTGCAACAATATTGCTGAATCTCAAAATAACTAACTATGATGAGTGGTAGTTTCACAGGTGTACACACACACACAGATATCACACATCATAACTTATCAAATTGTATATTTTGTGCAATTTCTTTTACTATACCCGAATAAAGCTGTTTTAAGAGAATGTATTGATATACACATCAACATTGTTAAGTCATAAACAAAAAACTATATACACGTTTATTCCATTTATATGAAACATCAAAAAATAAATCTAATGTGAAAGCAGATCAGCATTTATCTGAATTGGGGAAGGGGATTGGAATTGGGGGTCGGTGGGGTGTGTAAGGGTTGACTGGGACCTTTCTGGAGTGGTGAAAATGTTCTATTCTCCGTGATGTGGTTACATGGGTGTGTAAATTTTATCAAAACATACATTAAAATGGGTGCATTTTACAGTAGGTAAATTATATTTCAATTTAAAAAAATAGCTTTGCCTTTGATAACCTGTTCAGAGAGTATCACATAATATAGACTAGCAAAATTGGATCATTGGCTCAAAAGGCAAGATCTTTCTAAAATCTGACAAAATGGGCGCTCTCTGGGAAGCATGCCCATGCCTTTCCTTCTCCCCCAGTCACAGTAGCTTCCTCACTCCCAAGCTCCAAGGGACCTCCCTTTACCTCTGTAACTTGTTTCCTAAGCCCATTTCTTCCAGGTATTACTTTTTCTACCTCTGTGATTTACCCAATAAATGTCCTTACAAAAAAAAAAAAGATTTGACAAAATAACCCCACAACTATCTTGTCCTCTATCTTTCCCCCGCAAAGGTGGCAGCGGAAAGATGAAAAAATTCAATCTAACATGGCCATCTATTTACAGACACCAGTTAATTCTGTCCCATTCCCCACAGAACCTACTCTAAACTTACACTCTTCCCTTCCAGTTAGAAAAACCTTTTCTTTCTCACCAAGCCAAGGAAAAATTGCTTAACACTAGATTGCCCAAGGAAGTCATTTTGACTCCTTTTTAATTTCAATTAGAAAAACAATGATATATATAATGACAGAATTTCTTAGAATTTTGTGACTTTTTATACAACATATAAATGTGTTTATTAATAATTGTAGTTACCTCCCCCTCCTTCATTTCCGGTATATATATATGTGTTATACCTGTATTGCCCAAAAGCAGTCATTTTGACTACTTTTGGGCAATATAGGTATATACTAAATTTCGGTCTTTCTAGTGTTAAGCTTCCTTCTCCTCTCTCACAGCTCCATGGTACATTCCCATTTTACCTTTCTATCTCTTATCCTCTCCTCTCAGTGACTGTCCCCTAGCAATTATTCACTCTCCTGGTAGGATATTTACTTC